TTGTTGGTTGAATCTGTTTGGGAATTTCACTAAATTTTATCGGCAGCACAAGGAAAATTCAGTGAAATTTTCGGACAGCTTCGTTGCACAATTTCTCTGTAAAAAAATATAATGGCGGCGGAAATTTTTAAACGTCGCATGGCGCTTGTGATACTTTGCCTGGAAGGTGACGACATATTCATTGACGCCAGTAATTTAAAGAGACAAACTAGTATGCTTTTCCTTCATTTTCACGCGATACCTACTCTGGACTCCGGAGTTTGTAGAGTTGCGCTGTTGGGCTCCTCATTCAACGATGACTGATGACTTAAGACTTGAGTAATTGATTTATTAATGCCAACTTAATTTGCACAAAAGTGCACAGCAAAAAGGTTATGTCATAGAAACACACTAGGTCATTTCAGCTATTTCAAGTGCTGAAGTAGATCTGTTGAAAGGAATAAATGTATTAAATCTAGGTAAAAATCTAATAAAATTTGTCTAACGAAGACTGATGAATTTCGCGGTGAGCACTTTGCCGGGCGAGTTTTTCTAACCAGTTGCTCAACTCTTGAGTCATCAGTCATCAGTCATCATCGTGCAAATCTGAGCGTTGACTTTTGAGAGTTTATAACTCTCACACGATAGGGATAGCAGAACGGGTTCTCTAAAATATGTTATCTCTGGCCATAAATAACAATGAAGAAAAGAAACGGAAACAAATGACAATGAATGAGGCTGCAAATGACCTTATGATTTATCTAGCGGTGACGATGAGTGCGGCAAAGTGTCACCCACCATGCAACACCGCACAGTGGAACGAATACGCAGAAGAGGTCGGGCATGTAATTTTTGGCTAATATTTCAAATTTGTAAGTATATTTCGTCAAATATCTAATTTCAAAGGGTGTCTCTTAAAGGAATCTTTTTGGAAAAACCAATAGAACCAAAAACCTCGACATTAATACAATTAAAGTATATTTAGTAATGGAATATCTATAAATCTTATTGAAATAACTTTGTGTGGCATTTTTGGTTTATTTTAATTTGTGGAAAACTCGAAAGGCTGAGATTTTATGTCTTATCTACTTTAATAAAACTAGTTCCACTAATTCTATTATATAATATCTTTTCCATTTCAAAATTTTTCTTTATTATACTTATATAATTCAATAGTTTTTGGTGGTTTAATTTTCTATTGATAAGATCTTTTTAAAATTTAAAAATTTCAGAACCACTATGAAACTTTTTTGTTACATATTTTTGAAAATATAATCTTTCAAAGTTTCCAGATACTGTCCGACTTTGCCTATTGACTCGAGCCACTGTGCGCGGAGGCGGAGGGGACAAAAGTACATTGCTGATTAACTCCTTCAGTTTTTGTGCCAGGGTGACGCTATCCGAGGCACTCGGGCGCGTAATTGGGTCTGTTTCTTTCTTACACCCTTGCGGAACCCCCGCCCCTCCTCGCGCCTTCAACCCTCAACCCCTAACTCGAGCTCATCCAGGCCGAACTGTCGTTGTCGTCGATACGATCGACGCTTGGCCACCTCCACCGCCCTCCGCGATTTAGCAACTTGGAAATAGTTGAGAACCAAAATCCTGCCAAAGCTTCATTCCAGTTCAGGTCAATTCATACAATGAACAAAAAATTAATTTGAAAAAATTCCAGTATTAATACGAGATTTTTTGGAAGATAGATAGTACGCAGTTATCATTTCGCCTTCAATTGGGACTGATGCATCTAATCATGCACGAAGGTAGGAAGTTGCTGTTGTTTGAAAGATATCTCGTATGTACTCAGTTATCATTTCGCCTACAATTTCAAGCGATACACCTAATCAAGCGCCGGGATAAGAATCGTTAATGTTCAGAAAATAGCCAGCTAGTGCACAGTTATCATTTTGCTTTCGATTTCAAGCGATACATCAAATGGATGGAGTTAAACAGAAAGGAACCAAGCCACATCGGGATCGAACCGAGAAAAAGAGGTTTAAAGTTTAGCTCCTGCATAAGACTCAATGTAAAAGATAAACTTCAAGTTCAATTTCTGCAAAATTTTCTCCAACAAAAACTTTGAATTTTTGGCGATGGATAGTAGAGCAGTGGTTGAGTTCAAAACCACTAATAACTCAATTTTTCCCAAAATGTGGGTTGGTTCCTTTCTGCTTAACTCAGTCCAAATCAAACACTAAGATAGGAATCTCTTTCGTCTCGTCTTATTTTTCAGGGTTTCTACACCTGCATGTTTCCTCTTTACAGAGTGTTATTCGTAGGTAACACATTTGAATTAAAAGAGAAGGAGGGGCAGAGGGGGAAGGGGGTGGTCTGAGCTTGCGTTACATAGGGTAACATTTTAAAAGCGCAAATGTCCAAAAGCACCAGAGAGGATTTGCCCTTTTGAGGTGGTGGAAGCAATGAGTCGTTCGAGCAAATGATTGTCTTTGCAACTGGGAGAAAATGAAATAAAAAGAGGGTGAAATTTATTTATTTTATAGAAATGCACCGGCAACTTTGGCCATTCATCCCTCTGCAATGAGTGAGTGGAGAGGAATGTTTGCAGTATTGGTTTAAATATACTGTTCCTGATCAATCAGCACCATGCTCAGGCAGCGTCAACGTCGGTATTTATTCCCATAGGGAGTAGAGCCAAAAGAATTAGGCACCAAAGAGTATTTTTTAAAGTTTTTCTTTTAGCCTACTTTAACAAGTCATCTCTTGTTTGGAGTTTCCCTCCTTTAGGAAAACTACTTTTGACGTTTATGAGCGAAATTTTCAAAAAACAGTCCTGATAAATCGCACGGAATTTTGGGGAAAAAATAATGGTCATTTGTCTTTCGAAAAATAGAACAAGAAAGCCATAGGCGTACGTGGATCATTTTGCTAGGGGGGCCTAGGGGATATGGAATACTCCCCCCCCCCCCCCCCCCCCC